ATATAAAACACTGTAGGCAGTACAGATAAGTGAAGATACTAAAGATATTAAAGATAAAGATAAAGATAGCACTGTTTGGACTTGCATTCCAACAATATCATTCTAGAGTGTTGCATGGTTTCCCAACCCAGTTTATGTTTTTAATTAGAACTATTCAGCTTGATCATCCATTCTGATTAAGAAACAGGAGAGGGCTTAGTCTGATATCAACGGAGCAGTGAATCTGTTCTGGGTTTCCATCCAAACTTTATAGGAGCTATCCAAGGTGCTCAATCCATTTTGCAGCTTCAATGTCGTGGGGAGTGGGGGGGGGGGAATGAATCCTTTCTGGATTTTAGCCGAAAGTCAACATAACAAGCCCCTTTCTAAATCTGAAGCTGTAGCTCAGTGATTCCCAAACGTTGGCCTTCCAGGTATTTTGGACTACAGATCCCATTTTGGGAGTTGATGTCCACAATATCTGGAGGACCAAAGTTTGGGAACCATTGCAAATGGTCTCTCCTGCAACTCAATGAACTGCACGTTCCTACTATAGCCTTGTGGCTTGGCTCTCCTTCTTCAAAAGAAAGCCAAGTTGGCCTAAGTCACCCCCGGAACAATCCATGGACGATGCTCTCCAAAAATATTCCATCACCACTGCCTTTTCTTTGAGAGCTGTGTGCCATTAAAACTAACCCTGGCCATGGCAGCGGTTGTAAAGATCTATCCACAGGAGGCTAATTGTGCAGAGAGAGCCCGCAATGAAATGCCCAGTATTCATTTAACTTGATCGATCTGTCCCCTGGAGAGTCCCCATCCGTCTAACACTACGAGGCATCCTTGCGCTGTCAGCATCCCTTGGCACAGCCTGGATTGCCAACGGTGGAAGAAGGACCGAGAGCTTGCGTTCCTGGCACTGGCGGTTGGATACACTCCAGGCCGTGTTAATGGCAAGGGCAAGGAGGAACTGATCAAGTTTCAAGTCCTCAGGAAATTTCAAGCATCTTGTGCAACTTGCACAGAGATGTGAGAACTTGGTATTGTCTACAGTGGAGTGGCCAGGTCTCAGGGTCTGAACCCTCTTTTGGGGGAGGAATCTCAGGGTGAGAGCTCTGCCTTGAAATGTGTCTCTGTGTGTATAATCTTACTTACGTATGTTGTTTATTCGGATGGCCTACTCTCTGCAGCTATGGATGGTGCTAAATGCTTGATGACCTCACTAAGGCCCAGTGGCAACACAAGAAAAGGTCCCAGTATTTCAGGATTTGGCCCAGACTTGGTAGCAATAGTCTCTAGAACAAATTGTTCCGCAGAAAAAAGAGAATCATAGAATCACAGAGTTGGAAGAGACCTCAAGGGCCATCCAGTCCAACTCCATTCTGTTATGTATCTATTTCTCACAACTTACAATTAAAGCACTCCCTGTGACAGATGGCCATCCAGTCTCTGTTTAAAAACCTCCAAAGAAGGAGACCCCACCACTCTCCAAGGGAGCATCTCCCAATGTCAAACAGCCCTTACTGTCAGCAAGTTCCTCCTAATGTTGAGTTGGAATCTCTTTTCCTGGAGCTTGCATCCATTGCTCCATTGCGTCCTGTTCTCTGGAGCAGCAGAAAACAAGCTTGCTCCCTCCTCAATGTGGCATCCCTTCAAATACTTCAACAGGGCTATCATATCACCTCTTAACCTTCTCTTCTCCAGGCTTAACATACCCAGCTCCCTAAGTCTCTCTTCATAAGGCTTCATGGTTTCCAGAGCATTCACCATTTTGGTGGTCCTCCTCTGGACACGCTCCAGCTTCTCAACATCCTTTTTTGAATTGTGGTGCCCAGAACCGGACACAGGATTCCAGGTGACCAAAGCTTAACAATCCCCCAGTCCAAAACTTAATACATCTGACCAAAAATCCAATTTTGGGCTGAAAACCTGCTTGAGAGGGATGGCTTCAGCACTAGCCATCACCTCCAAAACCTCAGAAAATTGCCCCCAAATTGCCCAGAAGTGATTATGGTGGTATAGTCCAGCAAGGGATGGCCAAAAAGAAATGAAAATTGATCTCTGACCCTCCACATGTGCCCATCTCGGGGGTATTAACAGCAGTAGTGATGATGCTTATCTGTGTGCAAAGAAAAAGTTTCACCTTTTTGATTCCAGGATACGGAGTGACTTTTAAAGTCCTTGGAGAAACCCAAGGCTGTTGCCTGTTTCTTAGCCAACTGGCATTCCCAATTCTGTCTAGTTCGCCTCCAAGGGACTCCAGAAAAACAAGGCTGCTGAACCCACTTCTCGTATGGAGGAGAAACAGTAATTATAAGAGCTATTATAAGTTTCTGCTCAGTGGGCTCACTGCGCAGGATTTTTAAAGAAAGCATTCTTAATGGGTTTTCTAAAGTATGATTACGAAGAAAAGAAACAGAAAAAGAGAGAGAGAAAGAGAGAGAGAAAGAAGGAAGGAAGGAAGGAGGGAAAGAAAACAGGGGAAAGGACATTCAGAGGATATGAATGTGAATTTGGCACATACGGTTTCCTGTTTTGGGGAAAAGATATATTGATATATATCCAATGATATATTGGAACATAGGCTAAATAAATAAATACTGTACATAAAATGATTCGTCCACCAGAAAGAACTGGTAAGGACTTAATTAATTCTGGAAAAGTTGCCAAAAACAATGCTGGAAAATCAAGCATTCCCTCTTGCCTCCCCCTTCATTGCTGTTAGAGCAATTGGGGATTTTAGATAGTACAGGGCCCCCTCCATGGCTACCTTCATTCTGAGTTCTTTTGTTCAGGTTTCTCCGTTTGTTCTTCTATCTCTAGCAACGCATAGTCATAAATACTTTGTGTGTCTAAGCAACCAGACTGTGTGACCCAAGAAATCTCTAGAGTTGGTAGTAATATAAAACCTCTCTCAGCTCTATCTACTTTCTCTTAGCTCCTTGCTTCTCTTTCATAGAATCACAGAACCCTAGAGTTGGAAGAGACCCCCAAGGGTCATCCAGTCCAACCCCATTTTGCCATGCAGGAAGACGCAATCATAGCACTCCCAAGAGATGGCCATCCAGCCTCTGTGTAAAAAACCTCCAAAGATGGAGACTCCACCACTCTCCAAGGCAACTCACTACACTGTCAAACAGCTCTTAATGTTCAGAAGTTCTTCCTATGTTTTAGGTAGAATCGCTTTTCCTCTAGTTTGAATCCCTTGCTTTGTGTCCTAGTATCTGGAGTAGCAGAAAACAAGCTTGCTCTTCTTCAATATGACATCCTTTCAAATACTTATGGCTATCATGTTTTCTTTTAACTTTCTCTTCTATAGGCTAATCAGACACAGCTCCCTAAGTCGCTCCTCATAGGGCTTGGTGCTTTCCACACCTTTCACCATTATGGTCACCCTCCTCTGGATATGCTCCAGCTTGCCCACATCCTTCCTGAATTGTGGTTCCCAGAACTGGACACAATGTTCCAGGTGAGGTCTGACCAAAGCAGAATACACTGGCACTACTACTTCCCTTGATCTAGATACTATACTTCTATTGATGCAGCCTAGAATCACATTGGCTTTTCGAGCTGCCGTATCACACTGCTGGCTCATGTTCAACTTGTGGTCCACTACGACTCCCAGATCCTTTAACATGCATTGCTTCATGCCAAGTTTCAACCATCCTATATTGGAGCCTTTCATTTTTGCCTTTCCTTTCTTTGTTCTCAGCTTTGAGATTGTAATATTTAAAGCTCACTGGCACTCTTCCTTTTAACTAATCTTTTTATTAGTTAGTTAGGATGTCAGTATTTCAAGTGTATATGCATTCTAAAAGCAATTAGTAAAGGTTTTTTTGTAACTTAATGCTGCCTGCTTGTTTTTCACTTCAGTCAGTCATGGCTTGAAAGACTTAGGGGGGTTGCAGACTGCCAGAAATAGTGCAAATTAAGTCCACTTTTAGGGTTAGGGTTAGTGCTAGGGAGTCATGGGATTTGTTTTTTTTTCTGAGACATTGGACCTTCTCTGTCAGAGAGCTCTGGTGCCACAATAAACTACAGTTCCCATGATTCCCTAACTTAACCCTAACCCTAAAAGTGGACTCAATTTGCACTATTTCTGGCAGTCTGCAACCTTACTGAAGTAAGTCAAGGGGGGAAACGTGCAAAGGCAGGTTTACAGCTGAACAAGAAGGCAAAAATAATTACCAAGAATGATATACGTAACTTTAAAGGAGGCAATGAAGATACTGAAATAGTTAAAAGATTTTCCATACTTTGGCTCAGAAGGCAGACTGCAGTCAAGAAATCAGATGACTAGGACTTGGAAGGGCAACTATGAAGGAACTAGACAAGATCCTGAAGTCTAAAGATACATAACTGAAAACTAAAGTTAGGGTTATCCATGCCATTGTCTTTCCAATTCCTATGAATGATATGTATGATTGTAAAAGCTGGACAGTTAAGCAAGCTGCTGGAGAAGAGTTCTGAAATACCATAGACTGCTAGAAAAGCAAATAAATGGGTCTCTAGAGCAAATCAAGCCTGAGCTCTTCCTAGAAGCCAAGATGACTAAACTGAGACTGTTGTAATTTAGGGGGGAAGCAGACGAGAGCTTCCCAGACGCCCTGGGCCGGCGCGCCGCGGGGCCGCAGCCTCCGCACCTCGGCGCACCGGCGGCGACCCTGGAAGGAGCGCTAAATCAGCGCTCCTTCCTCAAGACAGCGAAAGTGCGCACTAACAGCGGCGGGCGCACTTTCGCTGTCTTTTCCGCCGCGGCGCGTTCGGCTGCCGCGGCGTGAGGTCATCCCCGGAGCGCCGGCCGTGCGGAGGGCCGGCGACTCCGAGGGCGACCTCAGGGAGAGGAAGGGGCGCTGAACGTGCGGCTGCCCCTCCTCTTCTGGGCCCGGAAGACGACTTTATTAGTCGTCTGCTTAGGGCCTTAGACACATAATGAGAAGGCATGACTCACTAGAAAAAACAATAATGCTTGGTAAAGTTGAAAACAATAGGAAAAGAAGAAGACTGCACTGCAGATGAATAGACCCAGTGTGGCCTAGTGGGTTGAATGTTGGACTAAGAATCTGGAGGCCAGGGTTCGATTCCCAGATCAGCCATGAAACCCACTGGGTGACCTTGGGCATCACATTCTCTCAGCCTCAGGGAAGGCAATGGCAAATCTCCTCTGAAC